TACATAACACATCTTAATTCTTTTTAATTCCCTTCGCTCTCCTTTCCCTCCATTTCTTTTGGACTTTTCTGTAAATTAAAAATTTTCCAAAATAAATAGTTCAAGAATATTTTAATGCCTGGAGGTGTGGCTCAGTGATAGAATGCTTGCCTAGCACACGTAAGGCCCTGAATATAATTGCTGGTACTACAAAAAAGAAAACTGAATTAAAATTTTATTTGCTTTTTATCGCGGTATGAGTGATATGCAAGAGTTGTATATATTTAATGTGTACAACTTGATGTGCTTGAAGGTAAGTACACACCCACTGAAAACATCACCACCATCTGTGCCATGAACACATCTATCATCTCCAGAAGTTGTGGCACTCTTTCTTTATTATTTTCTCATAAGAATACCTAATATAAGATCTACCTCAGGAAGCTTTTATGTATATAACACACTAACGTTGACTTTATGTACTACGCTGGAGAGATCTGTTGGACTCACTCATCCCGCACAACTGAAAACTCTGTAACCCTTGACTAATATCATCCTGCTTCTCTCTGTCCCCAGCCCCCCGGCAAACTCCATTCTCTTATGAGTTCAACTATTTTAGATTTCTCACATAAGCGGTACTAGGTAGTATTTGTCCTATTGTGGCTGGCTTATTTCACTTGGCACAATGCCCTCCATGCTCACTTAGGCCGTCACAAATGGTAGGGTTTCCTTTTCTTTGGCTGGATAATATTCCATTCTCACATTTTCTTCTATCTACAGACAAAAGAGTGAAAATAGATCTTTTCCTTACACTGTACACAAAAATCAGTTCAAATAAGTAGAAGGCTTCTGTGTAAGACCTGAAATCATAAAAACTCTACAGGAAAACAGGGGGAGGCTTTTTGATAATGGTCTTAGAAATGATTTCTCAGATCTGACACCAAAAGCACAGAAAGCCCCAAAAGCAAAGGAACAAGTGAAATTGTATCACACTAAAAAACTTCTGTACAGCATAGGACATAATCAACAAAATGAAAAAGCAGTCCATGGAATAGAAGGAAATATTTGCCAACCACATATCTGATAAAGGCTTAATATCCAAAATATATAAGGAACTCTTATAACTCAATAGCAAAAAAATCAAGTAACTCAATTGAAAAATGGCTGTAAGACCTAAATAGATAGTTCAAAGATATACAAATGACCATCAAGTATGTGAAAACAAGCTTACTACTGCTAAAAATGAAAAATCTCATTACTAATAAAGAGTCAATAAAGCAAGTATATGTAAAGGAAGTTCAAGAGTGAGAAAAGATGTTTTGCAAGAGTGTTTCCTTTAAAAGGGGTTGAAAAAGGAACAAAGATTCCTTGAAGCTGTAAAATCAAACACTAATACTCATATAATTTCCTGATCACTTCCCATGCTAGTTACTGCGGTCTGAATGCTTGTATTCCTCCCCCCACCCCCATTCCCATATTGAAACCAAATCAAGTTGATGCTAACAGCAAGCAGGGCCCTTGGGAGGTGATCCGGTCTACTCTCCTGAATAGGATTGGTGCCCATCTCAAGGAGGCCAGCAGGAACTTGTTGCCCTCTTCTGCCATGTGAGGATACCCAGGAGGCACCACCCAGGGGAATAGAAACTCATGAACCACCGAATCTGCTGGAGTCTTGATCTTGTACTTGCCCACCTCTGGAAATGGCAGCAGTATATTTCTGTTGTTTATAAGGATTCAGTCGAATGTATTTTGTTTTAGCGTCCTGTAATAGACTAAGACACTTGCCAATAGAAACTAATAGGTAGCTTGGCTACTAAACTAATGGTTAGCTTGGCTGTGTAGGGATTAAGTAGATGGTTAACACAGCTAGTATGTTAGATATGTTGCCTTAGCTAAGTGGTGACTCCAGTCAGTCTGGTTAAAAGGGACCAAAGAGAACTGCTTTATATATTTGTATTCAATGAACTGGTTTTACTTTTCATAGAGACTATTTCTATGGTGACTTAGTGTGGGAGGTACGAGAGATTGTAGGGGCACTCTACCTATCCATTGTACTACCACACTTAAGACTGAGATGCCCACCAAAATCTATTCTCTGTTTTTCCTTGGTGAATAGTTTCAGCTGAACACATTTCTCAGCCTCCTTTGCCACAGATGGGACCACGTGGTCAAGTTGTCACCAGCAGAAATGGTATATGCCCCTTGAGGATCTATTTCTTCACATTAGGTGTCTTTCCTCTCCAGTCTTTTCCTTTCACTCTGGAACTCAGATATGGAAGGACTTTGTCCTCTGCCTCACCATGAGAATAACAGCAATACCCTACAGCATGGCAGAGCAGGAAGACAGAGGGAACCTTGCAATCACAGGCTAGACATACCTGAACCACTGCAAAGATAGGTCTGGCTTTCTGAACTGCCACACTGGAGGAAGCGTGTGGCATATCACATTGCTATGCAGAGATGCTCAAAGGACCTCAGGTATTCTAAACTTGCTGCTGGAGTATTTCTAGCCCAGGCACCAGACGTGTGAGTGAGAAGCTTTTAGATGAGCCTAGCCATGCCATGTCCATCTGCATCCATATGACAGAAACCAACTAGCAGAACCCTGCCTGAATTCCTGACTCACACGTTATAAATGACTGCCGCTGTTTTAAGTCACTGAGATTTGGGATGACTCATTCTGCAGCAAAAGATAACCCAAATAGTCTGTATTAACAGATTAGCCTTCTGTAATATAAATGCTCTAACTCTGTATTAAAATTACCCTTATGCCTCCCAAACAATCTCAAAATTCTTTCATGTGTTTCACTACTTTAAAAAAATTTTATGGAAAGAAAAAAGAAACAGGTTAGGTACACAGTGCTCAAAGTTGAAATGTAAATCAGACTATGGTTTGTGATTTCTAGACCATTATTCCTTGTACATGGATTTGAAGTTATAAAATAATGGGACAGAAAAGGAACTTAGAGATCAGGAAATAAAGAACTCAGCATAAGTTGCTTTTCTAAAGCATTTGGTACCATGCACCCAAAGGGGCTACACAGGTGTGCATGTGTTTGAATACGTCTCCAATGCTGTGTATATCGAGAACTCAAAGGACAGGACAGACATTAAGTTATGACGTAATGATCTCTCTCTCTCTCTTTTTTTCTTTTGGTACTGGGAATCGAACTCATGACCTTGCACTTGCTAGTCAGGTGCTTAAGCCACTGCGCTATATCCCCAGCCCTGACATAATGATCTCTTCTGGTCAAAGCGTTTACATGTCTGCCCTGGCTCTGCATCATCAAGGTTGGTCTCGATCTTTGGTTTCCTTGTCAGTGAGTGAAGCAGCTGGACGAGATCACCTCACCAGGTCCCATCCAACCTTCCAACTATGACTCTGAATCCCTAGCAAGATCCTGGCTGCCACAACCACACTGCCCATTCCTAGCTGGAGTCCTGGCACAAGTAGTAACTGCACACTAGCGATTTTCTTCTACATCCTATTAATGTCAGGTATTGGATGATGAAATATATCATTGACTTTGCCCAAGGCTTAAAAAAAGCCCTCTGTTTTAAATTTACATTAAAAAATAATCTGTGTTCCAGCTTCACTTTGAACAGTACCTTCCTGTTAACATGAAAATGGTCTCAAGGCAGTAGCTAAACAATGAGACTTACATATATATAAGCTCCATCTGTACGGAACACACTCTGTTCCAAAAACATCTCTGTGTGGTTGGGAGTGAGGCATTAGGCAAAATAACATTTTCTTAAAGAAAGAGGAGGAAGAAGAGAAGAATTCCAAGTGACTAACAATAGCACTCTGAGTAAATAAATCTGCCTGCAAAGCACATTATACAAGTAAAAGGAGGAGGAAGAGAAATTGAAGTGTGTAACAATAGAGATCAGAATAAGTAAATCCTTCTAGAAGGCACAATGTAGAAGTATTAAATGCCATGTTCTCATAAATCCTTAAAGGCACAGGAAAAGGTCTAAATATATAGTTAGGTAAAATGCATGGGTTAATAAATACACGTACAGTGTGATCCCAATTTTGAATTTCAGAGACTGCCAGTCTGCACATTAGAAAAGAGCTGAAAGGATATACAATAAAATATTAACATGTACTTTACCAAGTAGAATGAATAATATTTTTTCCTGTGCTACTGTTAAATATCTCTTTTCTTCAATAAATGTGTTGTTTTTATAACCTGCAAGTTGTTTAAGGAAATTAAATTCACTTCTAGTTGTATCAGATATTTAAATAGTTTAAATGAAAATAATTGATTTTTATATTCAGTAGGTGATAAAGTATAATATCAGATATACACATCTTTCAACAAGTCAGTATCACTAAATTCAAGTAATTAATAAAATGAAATCAGACTGCAATAAACAGCTTCTAATACGGTCCATGCCTCCCTTTCCCCAGTGACTGCGTCTCATGGAAGTATTTCCTACCAATGAGCGCTCAAAATGGAAACTCTGTTTACTCAGTCAACTTTGGTTGCCACTGTACTCAGACTGAATTTTATCACCGCAGTTGCTAAGCATAAAATTTGCAAACATTTATTTGGTTCCTCTAGCTTAGCTTACATGAATCTCAAAAAGAAAGCATATTGAACTGTTAAGCATTCTCTGGCTGACAACCTAGGATTTTAGATTTCTCCCCAGTCATGAATATCAGTTCTCTAGTTCTTTCAATCTAACTTTCAGATTCAAACCAAACCAAACCAAACCAAACCAAACCAAACCAAACCAAACCAAACCAAAAATCATTTAAGAGAGACTGCGGCTCAGATGCAGGGTAAAAGAAATCATCTCGCAACCCAATTCCATTGTGAGGTAACTCTTTTCGGTGAAAGGCATTCTGCAGCAGAACACGGGTGCTGCAGCCGGCCGGGTCTGTCCCTGCGCAGAGCTCTGAGGAGCCCTGCGACAGCCTCTTCCTGCGGAGCACTGGCTCTGGCTGCTCCCGAGGGACGGAGCCAGTTGGTCGCGGCAGCATCCGCTCCTTGGGAACATTCCCATTGGCACCTACCTGTACTCCACTTGGGCGACAGCACATCGTCTGCCTTCAGCTGATGCAGTGACCTCACGGGGTGCTCAATCAGGTAAAACAAGACGCGTTTACCAGTCTGTGCAGCGCCTTCCGTGGAAATATTGCATGAGTCAGCTTTTATCTCTCAACCCCAACACACAAAGGCTTTACGAAAACCTGATTTGCAACTTTCTCCCTGCCTTTTCCCCCTAGTGTGCAGACCACAGACTTCAGCATCACGGAGAGCCTTAAATGAAACATGACATCATTCAATTGAGAAACAGGACAATAGACACCACTGTGGGTAACTTGCAAATGCATACTTCACTGAGCAGCACCCTCTGACTTCCATTCTTTTGTGAACATCAAATACAGCCCACACTCGCCTAAAGCTGCTCAGGGTTCTCGTTAAACTCCACATAAAATAAGCCAGATCTTGGGAGCTCAGAGAGTTGCAAGTTCACTTCCTGAGGTATGAGATTGTTTCAACGTAAATGGGCACATCCCTAACAGAAGTTTCAAAGGGAGGTTGGGGATGGGGGTGAGACAGTGAATCATACCCCGCGGAGGGCAGTTTGGAAAATTAGTTTATGTTAATAAGATAATACAGTTTTAAGTAAGAAAAGTTATACAAAAACACATTTAAATTTGACTTTTCAAGAAACAATTTTAAAAGCAATATCTAAAATCAAAACTTATAGAGACTACTTCAAAAAGCTGTTCAGTTGTATGATTTTTTTTTTTTAACTATTTGAGACAGGGTCTGGAGAAGTTGCCCAGGCTAGGCTTGAACTTGTGGTCCTTTTTTCTGAGTCTCCCAGAGTGCTGGGATCGTGGGTGTATGCTACCGTGACCAGATAGCCCTAGGAATCTATATTTTATAAAGACTAAGTAGTAAAGACAGAATGATGTAATTCCCACACTTTAGTAAGCCAGACTACATATTATTTGGGCTTTTGATTTTCCCAAGGCCAACTGTCCTTTTTAAAATCCTGTATCTATTTCTATATAAAGATTCAAAAGGTTTATATTTGAAAAAGATACTGAGTTCCTTAGATGAAGGTCTCCAGAAGTACAAATATGCTATTGGAAGTGGACTTCACTGAACCACGGAGGTGAAATTCAAAGTATGGATTTTGTCCATGTAGAGAGACACCTAAAACCCAACTACTTCAAAGAATTAAAATCCTTTAAGTAGAAGTTCCATTTAAAGCATTCACTTGTGGTTATGGGAAACAACATTAGCAGATCATCTTTAATATAGCTATTTCAATCATGCCTATTAAGTGATTTTAAACTAACAACATAATAGGATAATTTGCTCAAAGGCCCCTTTCCTTTCAAATAAGGCTGAGCATGGAGAGCGCCACTTGAATCTGGCCTTCAGATGGAAGTACATCAGTCAGTTCACAGGACCAGTTGCAACAACTTCCCCCAAGAGGATCCACCAGGATCCACCAGAAATTGGCAGTGCAGGGTGGTGGAAAGGCAGATGAGAGGAAGGATCCTCCCGAGGCTGTGCAGGCTGTCTCAGCTTCCAATCTCACCCCCAGGGACCCTCCGGCCTCCACGTCGGTGTCTGTGTGCCCTGTACCTGTGCCCAGGCAGCGCCCTCCTTTCTGCCTAGCCGAGTGTGCTCCAAGCTCACATGCTCTCTTCCCATCTCTAAACTGCTCTTGCCCCTCTCTGTCCATGTGCTAAACAGCTGCTTATTAAACTTAGAGGAAGTGTGGCACAGTCTCCTATTTAATGATTTTCTAACTGTATCTTCTTGCTCTGGGTTGTCAGGTTTGGGGACCAGGGAACCTACCTATACAAAGATATACACTCCTAGACGGTGCTGAATATAGTTTCCTGGCTTCCTGGCTCATTTATTTTCTGTGCACAGCCTCAGATATCAAGTTGGCTACTATTATTATCCAAAAAATGTTATTGTCCTTGGATTTTTTTTTTGCCAGTAAACATGATTTTAAAAAGCCATCTCAGATGCTGTGTATGTTACAAGGAAACAAAGCGGCAAAGTTGCTTTGTGATAGGCTGGTGGGCAGCTTGCTAAGCTCATTGATAGGACAAGTGACAATACTGAAAGGCAGCTTTGAAGTGACACACAGGCCATATTCGGCCCCAGAAGGCGGTCATGTCTTAGTTTTGTCTCTGATCCTTGCTTTGGAAAGATTGTCAGCATGGGTAAAGACCTCTCAGATCACTTGCACATAACTGAAACCAACTATACTGCAGCCACAAATAACCAGGAGTTGAGACATTCTGAATATAGGTTTCTAAATTATAAATTTTTTTGGAGCAGGGGACACACACTTTTTGCTTTTATATTTACTCAAGTACCACAGATTTGCAAAACGAGTTAACAAATGAACAGTGCAGGGATAACACACACACACACACACACACACACACACACACACACAGGCCAAGAGGAAAAGAGAAGACACATTTCCTGAGCAACCTTCAGCCTTCACCCCTCAGCGCCCACTGTCTCAAATTCCACACCTCAGTCCCCCGGACCTGCGGGTAGTTCGTGGAGGTGTCCTGCTGTCTTGCCACCAGACCTCACACATGCAGCAAAAAGAATCCTCTGGCACACAAAAAGCATAAGCACTGGTCTTCTTGCAAGAGCAATTCATTTGCTGATGTTAACACTGGGAAAGAGAATGGTTTCAGCCAGCAAAATTTCTTTCTAAATGATAGTGAGGCTGGCCACAGGTAAACGCATATGTGTGTCTCCTTAGGGGATAAGACACTGTACTCTTCCTGGAAAGCAATTCTTTTTAATCCCCTTCCAGCGCTGATTATACAATCAGGCAGTAGGGGTACTTTTCACAGTGTTCCCACCTGGAAAGGGAGGCAAGACAGAGGAGAGCACACATCTGGACAGCAGGTAGAGCAAAAACACAAGCCATCAAGCAAGGAAAGTGCAGGCCAGCTTAAGGCCTGACTGGAGGACAGCCAGAATGTCTTTGCTGTTAAAAAAAAAAAATCCTCCCTAGAACTCTGTCATGGGGCCTGGGCTCTTACTACACATTGAGTATCCCTTATCCAAATGTTTTGGACCAGGGTTTCAGATTTTGGGTTTTTTATTTTAAATTCTGGAACATTTGCATATACATAAGATAACTTACGTTTCATATTTACCTATGTATATAGCCGTAGCGTGAAGTGAATGGTACACAATATTTGTAATAGTTTTACACATGAAAGAAATGTTCAGGGCCTAGAATTTCCACTTGTGGCATCCTGTCAGCATTCAAAACTGTTTCAGATTTTGGAGCATTTCAGATGTCCGATTTTCAGATTAGGGATAGTCAAGCTGCATCAGAAACTGACTGCTTTTTGGTTTACGGTAAAAGTCACCAGTTAAAACTCTGAATCCCCTAGAAAAGATTATGGAATCACAGCCAACCTACCATGAATTAGCCTGCCCATCCTTCTGAGGAACTATCCAGGCATTTAGGAAGAAGACCACAGTGGCTTTGCTTCATAGGGCTGGGAGGACGGACAGGAGAAAGCGAAGGCTGCACATAGCTGCAAGGACTCAGCAAGGCTTAGCCCAGAGGAGACAGTTTGCTGATTTTGCAGCCAGGCAACAGCTCCAAGAAGCTTGTCAATGAAGGGGGAAGATCGACTTGGAGAGAGGAGGAAGGACAAAGGCATGCATACATTTTGGGGCACAAGAAAAGATTTGCTTCATATAACCAATATTGGGTAAGGCAGATCTAGAAAATTACCGCTTCAGACACAAAGGTGCTAGAAATCACAAGGGGATATTTCAAAACATATATAATGTTTTACACATGGAACATAGCTTTTGTTTTGTTTTGCATTACTGGAGGTTGAACCCAGGGACTTTGCGTTGAGCTATATCTCCAGTTCTTTTTATTTTGAGACAGGGTCTCACTAAGTTGCTCAGGCTGGGCTCAAACTTGTGATTTTACTGCCTTAGCCTCCACTCCCTGGTGTGCTAGGCTTACAGGGATGTACCACTTGCCTGACTGAAACATAACAATTTAAAGGCTGGGGAAGGTATGCCTGAGAATTCTGTCTTGTGAATTAAGATATTGTTGCCATTGACAAATGATAGGACCAAGACAAATAATAGAATTGACTACTTTCTGATGCACAGTATATTAACAAATATTTAAAAAAATATTTTTAGTCTATCAGAACTTTCTTCTTTGGGGAAAAAAAGTCATGATGTTATGTTTTCTAACAGTATATCACAGAATAAATGTGACAACACTGAAGTCAATTGCAAACCTCAAAGTGCCACACATCCCCATTAAAGACCCTTTGAAGGACACACTGACCTTCTTCCTGAAAGGGAGCGGTAATGTACTAAGGCCCTTCCGCACTGCAGTTATTTATTAAAAATCCATACACACTCTGTCTTCTGTAAACCTGGAAAACATCACCAGCTACAAATTCTGCCTTCCTATTGTTATATGCACCAATCTATACACGTGGTCAAACAAATAGGAAGGCCTAACCTGGTGTTTTTCTTTCTAAAGAGCTATTTTTCAAGAAGAAATAATTTTAATGGCAAGTAAGTTTGTTTTCGCAAGTTGAAAACATATTTACTCTCAGCAAAAGGCAGAGGCGTGAGGCAGATGTAAGCACCAAGTATAGGAGAGATTAAATGAAAGTATTTTTTGTATTGTTCCTGGAGAACTGAATCTAACAACAGAAAGCAAACTACAAATGTTAGTTACCAGTACTCCAATCCTCCAATGAAAACTGTTTCTCATCCCCTACTTCAGTAAATGTCAGTGTTGAGGCACGGTCAGAAGACTTCACAAGCACACAAAGCCTATTGTTCTTCAGCACACTGGTTTTCACAGCCCACCCTCCCCTTGCAGGCAAATTATGATTTAGCTTCTGCTTCCTATACCTACCAGTCAGCAAGGGGTGCATTCTGGGGCTCTAACGTCTTGCTCTGTTTTAGGGCTCCTTCCTGGGCTCATTTCTCTGCTTCTGGGACAATCATTACCTCTATTTTTTCACTCTGCTCTTTCATTAGGATATTTGGTTTTTATTTTCCAGAGACAATGAAATTGAGTCTTGGTTATTTCTGAACTGCACAATCTTTAGATAGCAAGCAAGCAAATATGTTACAATAAGCCTCTGGCTTTCCATAATCTACGGCTGCCATCTTTAAGGACACCACTGGAGGACTCGCTGTGTTAAGTACAATGAGTGAATTATCCCTGAAAGAATGCAGTCTGCTTCCAGACACATATTTCTCCAGCAGATAAACACACATCTAATCCATTCATAACTGAAGGCATTCAACACAATCTATACTTTGGAGAATATAAAAAAATGTAGTACATGAACTTGCAGAAGGGGCTGGGGTGCTCTGTTGAAATCCTGCAGTAGTATTTTCCAAAATATGAATTAAAACAAGAATCTCTTATAGTTCCAGAGTAATAACCATTGTCATTCAAGGCGGGGGGGACAACCCCCATTTGCTGGCCTTTCTACCTCCTTTGGGAGGATTCCACACTGCAGCTGCCCCCACTCTCTGCTGACCCAGTGGTTGTGGCTTCAGAGGTGGCTCTCACAAGCAGCGGAGGTGGGAGACACAAACAACATGCTCAGTGCAAATTTAAATCAGTTTCTGCACTGGTTTAGAACCTGCCTGGAGCAATCACCATGTTTCAGGGGCATCACAAACTTTCTTCTTCCCCACTTGCAAAGCTACTGTCAGTGTCACAATGGTTGACAGCTTAACCTAATTTTTAGAACTGAAGTGGGGGGTAGGGGGGCTGGAGCTTATATTCATTTGGCCTCCTGTACCATGTCACAGGGACAATCCTATTTAGGTGGGAATTTGCATGACACCAAATGCATATTCCACTCCAAGAACACAGAACTTACTCCTAAGTGATTTGAGGTGACTTAATTCTTTCAAGAATTTTTTTCTGTAAAATGTTTTTAATTGTTTTTGAAAACATTAAAAAATTTTTGAGCACTTTTAATAAAAAAAGGGAACTAAAATAGTACTGTATTCAACTCGTTTCAGTGGGTACAACAAACAATAAAACCCTGGGGAAATCTGACTTTTTGCACTAAATGAAAACATTAAACAGGGATTGTTTTTGTCATTTATGGTGTAGTAAAGCACATGGCAGAACAAGATTATTATTTCAGCCTCTGATGCACTGTACCCCAAAACTTTCCTTCTTTTGAGTTCAGAACTCAGTGCTTACTCCAATTATATGTAAAATTATTTACTTTATGAAGTCCTATGATGACAAACAGTATGCATACTATTTTAAACATTAAAACAATGAAAATAATCTGACAACCTATTCAGCAACAACTAAGCAGAATTAATAAACATAAAAAGGTAAATAACTTGTGAATAACTATGATTGACTGGTTAACACAATCAGTTTCCACACAGCCAACGAAAAAAGTGGCTACAGGAACACCCGGTATGGTACAAGATAAATCAGTAACACTCGCACGCATTTGTGATTGTATATTAACAGTGAAGCAAACTAAAGTCCTCCTGCTGTAATATTCTCAAGTAAGGGAATAGCAGAAATATCTCCTTGAGATCAGTGGGGAATGCTATGTAAGACAATTTTATCTGTCATTTTGATGACATTCTGCCCTTTCATACTGAAACATATTTAAAAAGTTTA